CTGCTTCTCACTAATAACACCAAGGCAGAAGTTTCCATCTTGCCACTTGGGTTCTTGTCATGATTGTATCTGACAGAGCAAGCCTGATAATTTTTCAGCAGAGAGCTATTGTTGCTCCTCTGTGTAATTCTTCATAATACCTTGCTGCCCTCATTAGTTAAGGAATGAGCCACTTAATGTGTCAATACAGGTCCCCTTTGTCCTGACCCAAGCCCACACTCAGACCCTCCTCTCTTGGCTGTGCCTGCATTCGTCGTCGTTCTTCTAAGGAAGAAACACACCAGCAGCCATCAGTAGTTTCCAACTGTTCAACTCTTTCCTTCCTAGCATGTGCTGACTACTGTTGATAACTCCAACGTGAATTCTAGGTCTTCTTACCTCCAGGGCTGAGTTAGGTACAACCCAAGGCTCTCCAAGGCTCTGCAGCTGCCTTGTGCTGGCACTTAACCATATTTATGTACTGCCTATTCTGGTGTCTGCACTCCCTTCCTGGACTTCGGATTTTTAAAGGTTTGGATGGCGTCTCACTCACATTCACGCTGTGTAGTGTAACACAGTTCCCACTATGCTTTATTATAGAGTAAGTAAGCATTGAACAGTAGCTTCTAGGAGTTGTGGTCTATTAAAATATCATATGGACTGGCAAAGAAAAACCTTGCTGTGTTGGTTGTAAGGAATTCCTCAGCATTTGGGAAGCGAGGAAGTAGTCCAGGACCTCCAAAGAATATTACAAGATGCGATGGAAAGAATCAGAAGACCTCTCCTGCAGCAGCTGAAGGAGATGGTGGTGATGCTCCTGAGAGTGACTGAAAGGCAGGAGCTATTACCAGGCCTGCCAGGGAGTAGGGGATCACAAAGGTTCACATCAGTTGGGAAGGAAGAGCATGTTCTAAGAAGATAAACAGCAACTTAAGAAATCAGAAGATAAAACGGACAACGCCAGGCTGTTTTTACTGGAGGCTTGTCTCTCCATCCAGTCATCGCCTCACCTTTTTAAGTTTATCTATCCTTGCTTTGAATTTATCCTTCTTTCTTTCTGGCCAGGTATTACTGGAATGATCAATGGGAAGTGGCATAATTCACCCAGGGAGCTTCCTATTCAGGCTGTAATCAGTGGTGACATATTTTGTGACAGTTCTGTATAAAAGATGACTAACATAAATAAAACGCATTGTATATTATGGGGTAATAGAATACCCAGCACTTCAGATCATCTCCTCCAGCGGTGAGGATCCAGGATTTAAGTCTATGAGCAATGGCAGGCTGAAGTAAAGCTAAAATTCTGCCTAGCAACTTATCTCATTATCCAGTGGCAGCTTGGCAGTCCATCATGAGGCAGTTCAACATGAAGACTGTCTCTTCAGAATCTCAGGAAGGTCTGCCACAAACATTCAAGATATCATAGGCAGGGTCCAGGGTGTCCTTAGTTTTTATAGCATTTATCTTGCCAAGGAGGATTTTCTGTGCAATGTGTTAGAGACCACTGCAAACAACTGGTAAGAATCATGTAGTGCTGTATAAAGAAACATGGCCCTGGAATCTGTCTGATACTGGAGTTTGATCCCATTTCTTAGTAATAATGTTCTGATGTGGGACTCAAGGACATTAATGACATCAAAGTCTTTAAAATGGGGTTCTCATGTTATTTATCTCCACAGTCCTCCCCAACCCTGCCCCACAGTAACACTATAGACATGGCGACTCATTCATGTTTTGTTCCCCATTTCACCTGCTACCTGGCACCTACAGATTATTTTGACTACCCAGAGGACTATGTCCCTGAAAAGCAGCCATGCCATTCAATTTGCGTGCTATTATTCCTGAGTGTCACACAGATATCTATCCCACTTGCTCTCCCAGGCTGATGCTGACATAGGCCTATGATCAGTCACCTCACCTAGCGGTGCTTGAAGCCAGAAACTCCAGCCTTGCTGCCTTTACCTTCCTGGTACTTGTCTCTGCAAATCAATCATCAGAAGAGTAATAATAAGGAGATCTTTGAGAGCCACATGTGGTAGCTGTTCTCAGATCTGTGGAACTTTAACACTTCATCAAACAGAGATTATTGAAGGTTTTCTAACTTGGTTCCTTGGGAGCAGCTTTTGATATTTGTGTGCAGGGGGCTACGCCACAGTGTTCCTAAGAAATGAGCGATTAAAAAAGCAGGCACGGGCAGGTGAAGACATTCACTTGTAGCATACTAGATCCTGGCACAAATGAACCTTGAAGGTTGTCTCTCTTTGAGACAAAAGAAGTAGCCTCTGATACCTTTCTACAGACCAGTCATAGGTGCTCTGAGGAAGGATGCTCCTGGGGAGGGGGTCATTCCTTTAGAAGAGTTCTACCATAGACTAGTGTACAGCCTTAACTGACATATCTACAACACAATCCCTACACCTAAGGCCTGGAGAACATCCCTGAAGTGGGGCAGGGAGAGTGTAAAGATTATAGGAGTGATGCCGGGGACACTCACTATAAGACAGTGTCTCCTAGAAATGACAAAGAAGCTGATCCAAGGAATCTCAATAGCATGGCTGTCCAAAGAAGACCCAAACAACAATTGTATCTGTCGACATGCCAAAGATGGTAGAGGGAAATCTCACAGGCCCCAGCCCTATGTGAAGAACTACAGTTAATGACTACCTAGAGAGGGAGAATCATTTTCTCCATGAATGAGCCCCTGATAGAGTATCCAATCCCATGAGGTAAAACCTAGACACATATACATACATGACCCAACAGTCTCTCTCTCTCTCTCTCTCTCTCTCTCTCTCTCTGTGTGTGTGTGTGTGTGTGTGTGTGTGTGTATGTATATGTGTGTATGAAAATAAAGAAGGAGGTGATGAGGGTCTGGAGAAAATGGGAGGACTTAGAGGGGGAGAGAGAAGTAAAAGTAGTGTTAGTATGGAGTTCATACATGCCATTCTCAAAGACAGAAAGAAAATGAAAATGAAAAGCTTATGTTGTCTTGTAAAAGTATTATTTACATGCTTATATTTTTAATGGAAACACACACACTTAGCACTTCTTTCTTGCTACTAAGTCTCAAATGTTGAACAAATTATAATTATCTTAGAAATTACAAAATTGGAGGCAATTTATACACGTAGATATTAGAAGGATTCAGATTGGGCACTGGGGGAGTGACTTTGAACAACTAGCTTCTCTCCCTAAGTCCCCTTCTACAGACTGAAGATGCCAGTGCATACTCTGTGTGAAAGATCAAATGGCACAGCTCATAGGCGGCCACGGACTCCACTGCATCTCCTCAACCAGGGTGCTCCTGCTCTGTCTCCTACATAAACTAGTTAGGGATCTGTTATGAAGAGTTAAAAGATAGAAAGAAGAGATGGACATACTCCTGTACCCAGATCTACATACAGAAAAGAGGTTGACCTGAAGCCCACACAAAGAGACCGCAGCTCGAATGGCCCAGCCAGTCATTAAGCCTTAATTCAAGTTGAAGGTTTTAATTTTTTTTGGTGTTTGAGACAGGGTTTCTCTGTGGCTTTGGAAGCTGTTCTGTAATGTTATTGCCCTTGTAAGTCCAGGCTGGTCTCAAATTCACAGACATCTGACTGCCTCTGCCCCCCCAACCCCAAGTGCTGGGATTAAAGACATACGCCAACACTGCCTGGCTACGGTTTTGATTTTTATATCAACATCACTAGGCCTTATCACTCACATTGTGGATTCCAAGTTTAAGAAATGCAATTATAATACAACAAATCCCCATCACAGGGCTGACATCTGCAAAATGGAAAATGCTTTTGTGTATAAGCATTTTAAGAAGGAACTCTCCTGAAAGACATGGTTTGGATGGACTCTAGGAACGGATGGTGAAGTTCAGGTAGGTAGCAGTAACTGTGAAGGATTTCTTACAGAAGGCTAAGTATTTGGAGCCTGGCTAAGAATTAGTCATGGATAATTTTGCAAGAAAATAAAATAGGTGCTAGTCATACATCATCTTTTTAGTGGTCATAGGAGCTGTACATTTGTTTTCATCTTACCCCAGAGAAAATTAGGAGAGAACCTGGGACACCTGTGCTGTTATCTCATCGCTCTATGCTTAACTCCATTGTTCTCTACTAATCTCCATTTTCTCCACATTAGAACAAACCACACAATGGCAATGGGACTCTGCAGAAAAGAAAAGAGCATCCAGAGGAAAGAGAGAACCACGAGAAGGGGTATGGAGGTAAGACCCCAGAGGCAGGCACTTTCTCATACACCTCAAGTCCTTCCTGGGTGGTCTGGAGAGCATGAGATTAGGCTGTTTTCAGAAATGACACACCCTCACTTAACACACTTGTGGCTAAGTTTTTAGGCTTTAAGATCAACTGTTCAATTTTGGTTCTATACCTTTTATCTCAGTACTAAATTTAACCAGCAATCAAATTTTAAAGAAAACGATTTGCAATACCATCTAACACTGTACACTCAGTATTCACACTTTAAACCCAAGTTAATCTCAGTGTCTTACTCCAAATATACACACATTGTGGGCAATGGATTCATAGACAAGAATTACATGCCACTATTTTAATTTCTATACTGCATCCATTATTTCACTCAGAAAATATTTATTAAGCTTCTATGATACACTACTTTGCTTAACATTAGGGATACATTCCAGGATGGGGAAATCGAGAATAATAATCTCTTGCCCTCTACTCCAGTCCTTGTTGGAAAGTAAGAATAGAGAAATTTGACAAATGTATTTGGCTTTTTTCCTCCGCAAGACTATCAGTTTGTTCTTGTAAAAAGCCAATAATAAATGCTTTATTGAAAAACAGCCTCCTTATTTTTCAATGCCCAGTAAGAGATCTTACCACATGAATACAGGCTGAATGGGAGTCCATCAACAGATCAATTAATACTTTTATTTGAGGGCTTCTGCCCTCCTATTGCTAACTCAAACACACTGTTCTGGTTCAGTAGAGTCCAAGTCTTATTGGGCTAATTCAAGTAAGTAGAAACAAGTTGGTCAACATACATACCCCCCTGGAGCCCCAGTGCAAAAGAGACCACCTTTCCATGCACAAATATGCCCCTCTTCGCTTCTGCCTCCTTCTGTGGCAACCTAGGAAAACCAAGCATGCAAGCCAGTAAGACAAACATCACAGAGGAATGGAACACCTGACTCTAGCTGATTTCTAGATGATTCTTAGGAACTGTTAACATGTGGCGTAGGAGACAAACTGTCCAGGCTCACATCTGTGTCTTGCACAGTGTAGATACACACCATAGGCAAATGTTAGCAAATGCAAGGTGACATGCCTCTGAAAACTATGAAGGTCATGGAGTCTTACTGGAGGTTGCCTGACCTTGCTGGCACCTTGGCTGGTGAAGGAGGGTTTAAAAAAACAAAGCAAACAACAACAAACCACAAACAAACAAAAAAAAAAACCCAGCCCTAATAAGCTATTAAAAAAGCTAAGTCTGTCTTTGCAAATTAATTATGATCTACTATTATTTAAGCTTTAAACAAAAGAAAGGTGTGGTTTCACATCCACTTCTGTTATTTACAATATTTGTTTGAAAGAAAACTGGAACAGATTACAAAGTCCTTGGTTTTTTAGACAAAACACACAGGCTCTTAAATATAATGAGGGTGGTGGGATTGTCCTTTAAACGCCTCCAGTATTGGGGCCCAGGGACAGATCTGCACTTGTTACAGGATGACAAAGTAAGCTACTCATGGCATTGCCACTTGTGAGTAATGGCACAATTCCTGCCTTCTTGGGCTGTTAAGTATTTTCTCTCCGTCTCTGTCTTTCCCCGTATATATTAATATCTAATTTCCATGTTGGTTATCAAAATGCAGGCAAACAGTTTCTCCTATTGCACAAGGAAGATAGAGGGCATTTAGGAAACTCCAGGGGAATTCACACCTCAATCATGCTCTAGCATTGATTCTTGTGAATCAATATGCATTTTTGCATACAATCTTTTAGCTCCCTTTTTTTTTATCCAAGTTATCACTTAGCAGCAGGATTAGGTCATTTTCATTAGAACGAGCCTCTGATTAACTAGTTCTTTATTTAAAAGAATACAAGCCCAGCTTTCAAGAATGTTATAACATTTTGTCAATAGTTCAGGTTGGGGCTAACGATCATCATTAATGAAAGCCTGATGCACATTTGAAATCTCTATGTGGCTTTGGCTATCCAGCTCTGGGATGCCAGCAAAAACAGTTTCTCCCTTCATATATGTAAAGGAAGTATGCTGAAGAAATAATAGGAAATGTGTAGTTGAAATGTTTAAGAAGCTTAACAGGCATTCCATCTAGTGTGAATTTGGAGGAAATAACTTTTCCTTCTATTTTCTCCTCTTTAAGAAAATTCTCTTGAGGGTGAAGACAAGACACAGTAGTTAAGAGCTCTCTGCTCTTATGGAAGAATGGAGTTCAGTTCCTAGCACCCACATCTTGCAGCTAAGACTCACTTGTATCTCCAGCTTAAAGGGATCCCATGTCCTCTTCTGGCCTCCACAGACAGGCTTATATGGACACACACACACACACACACACACACACACACACACACACACACACACACATACACACACACCTGTAAAAAATGAAAACGTTTATTTATATAAATTAAAAAAAGAGCCCTCTTACTTAGATGCCCCTTGTCTGCTATAAATAACATCATGTACAGTTTTAGGTGGGTGAGCATAAGAAAGCATGGGTTCACTTCTGCTCTACTCCCCTCCCTAAGAATGGTTACTGGGCCTGTTAGAATCTTGTGGGGTATGATTGGAGTGCAAGGACCCTTTGAGAGTCATTTGCAGGTGATTCTGATATTTTCTTACATTGAGGGATCACATCTGTCAATTATCTCTAAGTGCCTCCCAATCGCATTGCATACGAATGGTGCATTTGGGAGGAGACTAAATCTAACTGGCAAAGTGACACTGTTTTGTAGGTTGGATGATGATGGTGGCAATAAACTCAGCATTAACAAAATGTCCTTCTCAACATCAAACTCCTTCAGAAATTGTCCAGTGTTCACCACTGACCTTTAATTAAAATGAAAAGCTTGGATTATCTTTATCCCATAGGAAATCATAGTGCCTGTTCCTGCCTTTCTACTTGCTTAGAAACACATCTCCTCCCACGGCTGAGTCACTCTTTGGCTCACAGTTCCGAGGGCTCAGGTAATGGCTCCTAGGTCTACTGGTCATACATTTCTAACAGAAGCCTGTGCCTCAGGATCCTTTACTAGAGCCTCATCAACACAGTGAGTGTGAGTTATTAGACTGCCTTGGAAGGGACCTTCCAGCACAATGCTCACACTGGGCACTTGCCAAAGCTTTCCCTGGTGAGATGGCTGGCCTTCTGGTTTATAGTCACTCTCACACATCCTCCCCCACCACTAGACTGTGCAGTGTCTTACATTTGTCTCAACATCTCAGGGTTGAGAAAAAAAAAAAGATAGTTGAGGTTCCAAATATTATCCCAACTTGTATTATATCGTAACTCCTGTGAGTGAGCCCACTGTGACTTGGGTGTACCGGGCTTGTTTTACACACTGTCTCTTGCCTTTTCCCAACAAAGTACTTCCTGAGTTAATTCTAATCTTATTCTATTAAACATGACCATTAAAAGTTGCACTGGTAGAGTCAGAAGTGGGCATAGTCCCACGGGTAGTGCAGAGGTTAAGCATGGGATTCAAGCCTTAGCACTAAAAACAAATAATAAAATCTGTATTTTTTCACTCTCCGTATGAGTGTGAAGTTTCTGTCATCTCATCTCACTTGCTGAAAGCCCTGCCCCCATCGTACATCCCTTGCATTTGTCCTCTTCACAATGTTTAGGTGTTCATCATGACTCTGCAGCTTCCATCCACTTCTCCTTATCTCTTAAATTATCATGAATCTTTCCATGATCCCAGAGTTAATATTGGTCAAAGATTTTCTCTTTTTATCTAGTTTGGGATTAAAGTAAGTTCCTTGCCAAGACCTTCATTCTTTTCCACAGTAACCATATACTTGGCTCACACATTATCATAAAACTATTATGGGTGAAGATAAGTTGGCCTTGATTTTTGCCCAACGCACACAGCACACAAATCCTGGGCAGGGTAGTACACACTTGTAATACTAGCACTGAGGACACAGAGGGAGGAGTTCAGGTCTATCCTAGAATATACACCAAGTTTAAAGCCATCCTGAGCTACTCGAGACCCTAAAAATTATTGATATAAATTATTTCATTAGACATAGGAACATCCACTCTTAAATGATTATACATAGAGTAGTAGATTCAAATTTTGTCATTCAAAAGAGAGTTCAGAAGGCATCATCGTTATTGCCAGTGATTGGGCATGACAGACGCATATGGATGGGTTTGTCTCAGCTCCATAAAGTGAAGAATTAGAACCCAGATAATCAGGGCAATGGCTCAGTGAGAGCATGTCACTTAAAAAGATGACTCCTTGGCCCCAGCTTCCTCCCTCCCCTTTTCATCATCACCCCAGCCCCCCAAGAAAAAGCTTACCAGTTGGTGAGTTTCTGTGTTATTAGTTCATGGAAATGCTAGTATTATTTAACATTAAAAATAAAAAATCACACTCAAGCGAGTGCTGAATTATTCATGCACTCTGATTTTACATAATTTGGCCATCCCTCTCTTCATTGCTATTTCAGTTTCCATCGCTAAACAATTCTTTACTAGGTCCACTTCGGATTCCTGTGAACAAGGAGATAACACTTGCAGAATGCTTCCCTACGTGATGTTCTGAGCTGATGTCCAAACATTTGCAGCTAAAGCCTAAACAACTCAAAAACAGCTGGGTAAAACCACAGTACCAGGAATGGAAGAAAAAAAAATCAAGCATTAATAAGGACATTTTAATTTTTTTTTAAATCAAATTTCTTTAGAATTTGAAAATCTGTGGTGTCACAAAGGCTACCAAAATTGAACCATCAGAAGACCAGCCTTGAGGGCTTGTATTGTCACTTGGTATTTCCATCACAGGTGCACACCAATCTAAGACATGATTTAAAATGCAATTAAGGCCCTTAATGTAGCTCCAGCATTAAAAGTTAGCGATGGGCACTCTCAGACTCCCTATTGAGTGCATGGCAGGACAGAGGGACAGGATGGCAGCTAGCTCTTTCAATAGAGTGACAAATACCACAGCCAAAGTGTTACTGTGGTCAGACTTCCATATGTCACACCATTAGAGACAGTTGGCCCCAGCCTGCAACTTCGCTGGACAGAACTTGACAAGAATTCTACCCAGAATGTGTGTGTGTGTGTGTGTGTGTGTGTGTGTGTGTGTGTGTGTGTGTGTGGTGGGGGCAAGCCTCAGCATCTATACCAGAGAAAGCAAGCGCAAGAGACAGTGTTACAATAAATGCAACCACCTCATCTGCCAGGAACTGCCTCCTTGAGCAAAAGAAGGGTGTTCTTAAAAAAAAAATCACTGTATATTGTTTCACTCTTCATTGCTTTGCTCATTTCTAACATATAATTTTTTTAAAGCTAATCATTAATGGAAGTGGCTAGAAGTGGCAACTAAGCCTTTTTGGCGGCATTCTTCAAATGTTTGGTGTTAAGTGAGAGTGAGTGAGTGAGAGAGAGAGAGAGAGAGAGAGAGAGAGAGAGAGAGAGAGAGAGAGAGAGAGAGAACACAGATGGGAAATACTATAATGAACCAACATGTTCTATTTAAAAACTGTTTGTCAGCTGTAGTTAAGTTGACACTGTGAGCATAGCAACAAATCATAACATTTTGCAAGTTTTCCTGCATGCTTGAAGCAGTCAAAGTACATACTTGCCCAGATCACAGTGGTGGGAGTTTAGGAATGGCACAATGGATGGGGTGCATTGGGACATGTGAGACCTGCTGCCTACTCAAAGGTCAGTGGCCACAAAAGTAGGCCAGGTCTTTGACTATTCCTGTAGCCAACGAGCAATGTTCAGGGTTTTTAAAGAGAGCTGTGTGTAGCCCAGCAGTTCTGAGAGATTCCCCTTTGCCTGAGTGTATAATTTTGGATTTCACTTAGAGATCGGTGCCATACAAGTATCAAGTTCTCCACCAGTTCTCCACCAGCTTTCTTCTGAGGTCA